TGCTGCGCGTGGGGCCCCCGGCGGGGCCTGGCCAGCCGCTCCTGGTCACCAAGGTCCCCAGGTACTCGCTGTGGCTCCGACGAGTCACACGGCAGCTGAGCCCCGTGAATCCGAGACAGCCGCACCTTCACAATAGCTCCCTCGGCTGACGGCCTCCCCTCGGGGCTGCTTATCTAAACAGAGCCCCCCAGAGCAGGCAGAGGGGGTGGCACATCACAATAAAGTATCTGTCACCCCTAACAGCTGCTTCCTGAAACTGGCTGATGCGTCAGCGCAGAGGCAGGAGCCGCGCCTCCGGGGACCTGGGAGCTGCACCCCCACCCACTGCCCAGAGACTGGGAGGGTGGGGAGGGGGTCAAACGGCGCAGTTTGGAAGGGCCGGAAGCGCCAGGCTGGGAGGCTAGCCCCAGCGCCGCAGCACAGGCCGCGAGCAGCCCAGGGAAAGGCAGGAGGGCCACCTCCGGGTGGGGGGGGAACCTCAGCACAGGCCCCTGGAGCCTCAGGCCCGTCTCCAGCCATGGTCGGCAGCAGCAGCCAGGTGAGCAGAAGTAGGGGCTGCATGCTGAGGGCTGCACGGAAGCCTGCAGCCCCATGAGACCGCAGCCTCCACACGTGTGGGAAGACATGTGGGTCCACACCACCTGGGCTTCCCCAGGACCAGAACCCCAGGGGTCCCTGACTTTGTACCAAAATGACAACTCACAGCAAATGGCTGGAAATGATGCACATTTTACGTTATTTTTTCAGTTAGGAGGTTGCATGTGCTCCCGGTTTCCCTGGGGAACAGAAGGGCCCTCCTGGCTGAGTGCTCTTCGGACGGGGCTGGGGCGCATGCCTGGGGGCCCCGACACAGCTGTTGAGGGAGGACTTTTTTAAGGGATAAAAAGTTCAAGTTGATTCATACATTCTTATGACTGGGAAACAGGGAGTTTAAAGACAAATCAGATTTTTAACTCACGATTCTTTTTCAGGGGCAGCTGGGGAGGACCTGGGCCTAGTTGCTTATTATCAGGTTTTTTTTAAACGGAGGCGCTGGTCTTAAGTCTCACAATTCTTCAACACACCAAGTGTCTCTTTCATTTCTGATGTACTATGTTAACCCTAGAATTAAACTTTTTTTTTTTTGGCCAATCTGCAGATGCGCTGGCCCATTTTTCCAAAAGGACCTTGAGAAAAATAAAAGTGACCCTGACACAGACTAACGGAGGGGCCAGCAGAAGAGAGAAGACTTTAAAGTCTGCCCCAAATTTGATTACATTACTTTCAAGCCACCTTGTGGTCAGCACGCCACTGCTTTAAATGGCTACTTATGACTTAAAATCAGCAAATGAGCGTTGCAATTTTATGTAAATAATACTGCAAAACTATCTGCACTGTCGTTATGGCATTCACTGCACTGCGAATCTGGATTTCCACGTGGAAATCACTGCAGACAGCACAGGCAGAGGTGGATATCTCACTCATGTCTGCAGGGCTCTACAAAACAAGCACCACCACAGGAACACCACAGCCCCGAAAAGCCAGCTGAGACGGGGCTGTGTGAGGCAAAAACAACATCTCTGCTCACTTTACACATGTGACTCAACAAAGTGGCTGGAAGCCATGAGGAAGCAAATCCAAATAAAACGCAAGAAAAAGGACTCAGATTAGATGAGGCTTTAACAGCGCCCTTTCACACTGGGGCAGAGACGGTCTGCTGGCATGGCGTCAGTGCAAACCGCCCCCCCCATAGGACTCACCTGTGTCCGCGAGGCCGGCTGGCCGCTGGGCCCACGGGCCTGCAGACCAGTCGGGACTCAGGGCACACGCACCTGAGGCTCTGCGCCTTCGCCGAGCGTGGCCTTATCTTGTCATTAATGGTCAGTCCTCAATTTCAGTGTCACTGTCCACTATTCAAGAAGGTACCTGAGAATGTTGAAAACTCAGTGCTCTCTGTAGTTAAACCCAGAAACACAGGCATGCTTACAGAAATTCTGGTATTCACACTGCAGTGAGAACGCCACTCCAACCCCAACTGAAGGGCGCCCACAGTCCCTGCTGAGGGGGGAGGGTCCAGGTTCCTGTCTGAAGCTGTGAGACCAGCACCCCAGTGAATGGGAAAGCGTCCCCAGCCCCGAGTGACCACTAGCAAGCAGCCATCCTGTGCCGGCCCCATGGCCAGCTTTCCTGCTCAGGGAAGTGGTCGGGGAGGGACAGCTCGAGGGTCGGGAAGCAGCTGTTGGCCTGACACCTACAGACATGGGGCCCACTCCAAACTGCTGTCCTCACGCCTCGGTCGGGATGTGCCAAGGGCGACAGTGACACTGAGACTTGGGAGGCAGCCCACACAGCCCACCGGCTCTCTGTGGTGCTTGCCCTGGAACCTGGCCCCGTCCCGCTGGAGAAGAACCCAGAACCTGCCTGCCACCCTGCTGAGCGCTGGGTCAGCGCCCAGGGACACCGCACCTTCAGGGTGGGTCACGCAGCCCCGGGAGAGCCCCGCAAATGACCCACGTGAAGCAGAAGCCGTGAGCGAACTGCAGACTCTGAGCAAGCCCGGTCAGGGCCCCTGCTTCACACCAAGTTCTGGGGTGGCTTGTCTGGCGGCCGGAGCACGAGATGCGAGATGCACAGACAGACCCAGCGTCCTGGGCTGTGTCCGGGTCCCGGGAGAGGGAGTCCACTTCCCAGGGCAGCTCCTCTTTGCACAAAGGGGACAAGCAGCCTTCAGGCTCCTACTTTTGCAAAGATGAGCTACAACAAACTTTTCTTCTTTAATAAGTTTTGCATAAACAGAGGAAATGTGCATACTCCGAAGAAATGGCTAAAGTACCTGGAAAACTTAAATCAAATCGAGTTCAGCTTATAAAAAGAAACAATAAGTTAAACAAACACTTTGGTCACACAAAACGTTCAAATTTAACATTTATAAAAATAGCTGTATCCCAGAAGATACAATAAGGAGCACGCCATCTGTATAAATTCAGAACGCCCCTTTCATAGGAAGAGCCACAAAGATGCCTTAGGAACACTCAGGGCAGGAAACTGCAGCCGCCCTGCAGACAGAGCGCCCCACGCAGGGACTCTGCCCACACTCCGGAGCCAGCAGACGTGCCTGCGTTCCCTGAAAGCCGGATCCCAGGTCCCCGAGAAGCGGGCGTGCGTCCTGCGACGACGGAGACGTCAAGGTCTCTGCGTGCTGGCAAACTCGGTCTCAGCACCCGGGGAGAAGCCGGCGACTCCGGCTGGTTCCCGGCACGCTGCCTTCCCGCCCCTGGGGCCGCCGCACGTCAGCACACTGTTGACAGCGGAGGAAAGGGGTTCTGCTTGCTGACAACCAGCTTCTGGTGCTGATGTGATATGTAGCCTTTGATGTGGCCCTGCAGGAGGGAGGGAGGGCGCTGCACTGAGCCAGAGTCACATCACGGGTGTCGGGGCGGCACTGAGCCGTTCCTCCCCAATCCTCCCCAATCCCACTCACTAAGAGGACAATGAATAAACGCGGATACGGCGGGGAACGTGGAAATGCATACTGTGCGCACCCACCCGCGCTCCCGTAAAGCCCCCTGACTGTCGAGGTATTTTCTGGCCCTGATCACAACTGAGGCGACTGCACCAGGGCTTCAGAGTCCGGGCCCGCCCGCGGAGGTGCGGCCCACGCACCATGTAGATGAGGTTGGCCAGGATGCACTGCACCTCGTCGATGTCCACATCCTCCACCTGCATGAACTTCAAGGCCACCAGGAAGGCGTCCAGAGACAACTGGTGTGTTCTGAGTAACAGGCACCTAGAAGAGGGAGACAGGCCACGCCGGCCACTCCAGACCCACAATTGAAGGCCACGCGCTGGCGCGCAGCAGGAAGAAACGCCTGCTAGGCCCGCTCCCCAGGAATGAAGAACCCCTCCGCCTGTTAAGTGCTCAGACAGTCAGCGCCTCCGCGTGCAATTTTGACTTTTCAGGTCAACAAAGTCACTAGCACAAATCTGCTTTTTAACATTTAGTGAAGAGCTCACTGAGTCTGGGTGCGCGCACTCAGGTTTAATGTCCCTGAATCGGGAAGCAACTTCGCGGGCTGGTGTCCTGCGGACCTGGCAGACGATGGTCCTTCCTGATGGGACATATTCCCCACAGCCATAAA